GGAATGGCCTTGGTGATGGCGGCTAAAGTAACTTCTTGTGGGCGAGGTGGGAGGTGTGCTGAGATAAGCGGGAAGTCAGATCATGGGGGGACTAAGTGTCTGGCAGGGAACCTGGTGGCCCATGCGTTGCGCTCGTGCGGAGACCAATGCGTCTCTTGCAGGAGGGCCGCCCTTCCGGTCCCGGTGATCTGCGCGATGGCAGGCAGTTTGGCCTGATTTTCCTGCGTGAGAGTACTTCGTAGGTGCCGAGCGCTCCAGGGGAATAGTTTGGGAGGTCTGGCGCGGCGGTGCCTGGTGAGGGGGGCCGCGGGCTGCCCTGCGCTCGCGCCATTGCAAAATGCCTCCCAGGTGGCGCGGGGGGGCATGGTGGAATCTCTGACGGGCCACCAGAGAGCGCTGGGCTGCCTGATGACCGGGATGTGCAGGCATCCTAGTGCGTTTGCCAAGGCGTTCCTAGCCCTCATCCAGCCTCGGGACCTTGCGGCGGGGATACCTAGTGGCGTGAAGGGGGGGGGGGGGGGGGGGGGCGCGCGCGAGATGCAGGGGGGTCGCGCTGAGTGTCGCTTCCGACTTGGCAGTCCGTGCCGAGTATGCCCCCGGCGCCCGCCGCGTTCGAGGTGCTGACAGCGAGGTCGTTGGCGAAGATGGATGAGTTGGTTGTGCTGTTAAGCCCCCGCCGCGCCGTACTCCAGTAAACCTTTATGTCGTGCTGGCCATTGTTCAGGCTGCGCTCCGCCTGCATGAGCCTCTGGCGGTGCATGGAGGTCCTGTAGGTGGGCTCTCTTGCCCCGCGGAGTAAACATGTAGCAGTGTGGGGCGTTGTCGTAGAAGTGCCTGCCGTCAGTGTTGGCAATGTCTTGGGTGGTGCTTCCATTAAACACGGTGTGCGTGTATGCGTTGGATGCCGTGTTGTTGAAATTATCGCCCCCTACGTTGGACGCAGGATTTGTGATGTTTGTCCCGATGGCGCTTCCCTCAAACGTGACAGTGCGACTGAAGAGGTCCTCGCGTGCATCGTCAGTGAGCCTCCCGAACGTGGCGTAAACAATCAGGTCGGCAGCGGCTGGATACCCCAGGTCGACATTTTCGGGCAGCGCAATCCGGCGTGCTCCCATGGCGTGGTGGCGTGGAACTTCTCGAGGGCAGCGTTGATCATTTCTGGGTCAAGCGCCGCGTGAACGCTAGTGCGCGACAGTGTGTCGCCGGAACGCGCATCGTGGGCGTTAAGACTGGCCGCGGCTGCAACCGCCGCGGCGGCAATCAGCAGCCTGGCCATTGCGCAGAGGGGTTATCGGCCGACGCGTACCAGGCAATTCGCAGATGGCCAAATAGCCTACGACAGAATGCCTGCGGAGCTTGCGTACATGCTTGGATGATGATGATGATGCAGGGAAGGGCGGACTTGCCTCGAATTACCATGAGCGCATCCAGGACTGACAAGCCCGCGTGTAGGGCACGGGCAATGCTGGGCAAACTGTCAGCAAGCGTCGACCCCAAACAGTGATCTGTTGCAGTCTATGCGGTCCAAGTGTTTTTTATCGGACGAGCTGACACATTCCATGCCCTTGCAGACGTCCCACGCACCCACCCGCAACTTGGTTTGCAAAAGCCCATGCGGTGGCGATTGCGATGCATGCTTGGCGTTGGCTGGTGCATCTTTGCGGCCGCGCCAGCCCAAGCGCGCAGCGGCCAGCTAGTTTGGCGCGACCGACGTGGCCGCGGTGGCGCTGGCCGCTGGGTACTTCCCAGCGGGCACTTCGCTGCGGGTCGGTAACCTGGGCGGGCGCGGTATCATGGCAACGTCGACAACGGTAGACACGGCGATGATAGCAACGATGCTGGTGGCGATGTTGACAACGACGACGGCGCGGCCAGTGCGGGCGCCGATGCTGATCACGCCGGCGACGATGACGGCGTCCTCGCGCCGTTGATTCAGGTTCTGGAAAGATTTCGACATGCGCGCGCGGCCGACGCGCGAGAGTGGCCCGCATGGTACGATTTGACACTGATCGTGCGCACCAGCACGCGCGCAACGGCGTGCGAGTGATGCCGGCATGCCGCGCCAGAGGCCCGTGTGGCAGAATTCCATGGACATCTTGAATACCAATGGATGATTCCTCGAGAATCGCAAGAGCGCGAACTCACGCTTGTCTTCAACACTTCTGTTGCGAAACCATCTGTGTTTTAAAATGTTTTCTGGACACTGGGCTTTGAAATCGCTGCGAAGCCGAAGATTTTTTTTTTTTTTTTTTTTTTTTTTTTTTTTACAGATTTCGACATGCGCGCGCGGCGTCGCGCGCGCGCACTTCGTCGAAATTTTTGCAAAGGATTCTCGCGACGGCACGCGCGCACGGGCGTCGAAACGATTTCGGCATGCGCGCGCGCGAAGCCAATTTGGTAGCATTTTTGGAAAATGTTGAAAAACCTTCTTACGAAACCGAAGGTTTTTGAAGGATTTCGGCATGCGCGCGCGACGACGCGCGCGCGTGCACTTCGTCTCTCGTTTTCTGCAAGGGGTTATTGCAAACATGTGATGTCTGATAGACGTTTGTGCGCGCATCGTATCTTTTGCAAAGGATGGCGGGGGGGGGGGGTACTGGCCCCCCAGGGATGGTGAGAACTCAAATTAAGGATGAACGATGGGGCAGAATCACATGTAAATTGCAATACGAAAAAGGGTACCGATAATCCTGGGGGGGGAGAAAAGGATAATCTAGGTGGTGCCATCAATGTGGTGCGAGCTATGTGGTGCAATCAATCACTTGCTCAACTTGAAACTGTCCTCTCCACTGCTCGTGCAAACATCTCACCCTCCTACCCGCAACTTGGTCGCAATACCTCTTAAGACCGTGACGGTGGGTACCACGTGGCTCTTGGCAACGACACCGATGCCGACGACGACAACGACAACGACGACGACGCCGCCGACAACGACTACGACGACACCGACAACGTCTCCAACGACTTCGGCGACGACGACAACGACGACAACGACGACAACACCGACGACGACGCCGACGCCGACGACGACGATGACAACGCCGACAACGACGACGCCGACGACGACGACGGCGACGACGGCGACGACGAAGACGACGACGACGACGTCGCCAACGAAGACGACGACTACGACGAGGGAGGAGGGAGGACAACGACGGCGACGACAACGACGAGGGAGGAGGGAAGACGACGACGACGACGACGGCGGCGACGAAATAGGAGGGACAACGGCGAAACGCCGACGAAGACGACGAGGGAGGAAGGACGACCACGGCGACAATGACGACGGAAACGACGACGACGCCAAGACAACGACGACGAGGAAAGACAGAGGACGACGACGGCGACGACGACGACGACGAGGGCGGAGGGATGACGGCGACGACGACAACGCAAGAGCGCGCGCGCACGCCTTTGCTGAAAATCCGTGTTGCGAAATCTTGTGTTTTTGTATGTTTTTTGGACGCACGGTTTTGAAATCCTTCCGAAACCGAAGGTTTTTGAAGGATTTCGGCATGCGCGCGAGACGATGCGCGCGTCTGCACTTCGTTCCATTTTTTACAAAAAGGATTCTCGCGACGGCACGCGCGTAAGGGCGTTCGAAAGATTTCGACATGCGCGCGCGAAGCCCGTTTGGTAGTATTTTGTGAACGCGCATGTTTCTATCTGTTTTTTGGAAACTGGATTTTGAAATCCATCCGAAACCGAAGGTTCTTGAAGGATTCGGCATGCGCGCGCGACGACGCGCGCGTGTGATTACTGGAAACTTCTGATTTTTGATAAACGAGAGTGCGCGCATAGTATTTTTTGCAGAGAGGATGGCGGGGGGGAGTGATACCGGCCTGGCTGGGATAATACGGACTCAGACGAGTGTGCACAATACGTGTGAAATCACAATACCCCCGGGGTGTACCATTAACTCCCGGGGGGGGGTATAGTCTATTCTTCTTTTAGAAAGGAGAACCCATGTGGTGCAACGTATGTGAATACAATGCAAGACAGTACGAAGCGATGTACTGTAACGCGATACAAAACAAAGCGATGCAACGCATGCAAAGCAATGCGAAGCTCTGCAAACTAACGCAATGCAAGGCAGTGCAATGACAAGCAGTGCACAATGATGTGACACGATGCAAGGTGCAAAATGATGTGACACGATGCAAGGCCATGCAAAGCGCAATGCGTTGCAACGCATCGCACAGCAACGCAAAGCAATACAAAGTAATGCAATGCCATGCTGCGCAAAGCGGCGAAGCAATGCACAGCAATGCAGAACAACTCAAAGCATCGGAACGTAGTGCAAGTAACGCGGCGACAAGCCCGGCGGACCGCCACTGGGGCCCAGCGACGGGCGGCGACGAACTGACCGGACCGCCACCAATGCCCAGCAGCGACGGCGGCGACGGGCGGCCACAAGCAGGCCGGACCGCCACTGGAGCTCGATTGCCTTAGAAAGCAAATGCCTACCTGCAAACTCTGTTTGGGGAGAAGCGTCCATAACAGCAAGAGAAAGCCAACCGCATCCCGACAGTCGTGTGGTGAGCCTGCTTGAGCAGGAGCGCGCACAAGTCTGTTGCTCGAGACGACAGGACGATGCGTCATAGGACGAGGAGCACGGAGGGTCAGCGGGCGCAGGAGGAGGCAAGACCAGTCAACGATGAAGCGGGAGATCGGAGACGAATTGGGATGCTGGCCGGGTCGGGCTGCATCGGCACCGGGCCCAGGTCGATTCGGATCGGCTGCGCTTTGATGCACAACTGCGCCGTGTAAACGTCGGGGTGCATCGGATCGTCGGAATGTCGGAATCAATACCGGAATCGGATCGGGCCGGCCAGAACTGATATCGAATCCATACCGTCGGTGCCGCCGCCGCCGTCGCCGTCGCCGGCAGCCGCCGCTGCCGCCACCGCCGCCGCCGCACTCGTCGCCATCGTCGTAGTCGTCGTCGTCATCGTCGTCGTCGTCGTCGTCGTCGTCGTCGAAGCGGGGGCTCCGCTCGCCTCCGTCGCGCAGGTCGAAGCGAGGCTGGGCTGCCTGCTGCGCCTCGGCGGCGGCCGCGCCGCCAGCGGGGCCTGCGGGCTGGCGCCGCTGCATCGGGCGGGACCTGCTGCTCCTCCTCCTCCTCTTCCTCCTCCTTCTCCACCCTCCTCCTCCTCCTCCTCCTCCTCCTCCTCCTCCTCCTCCATTCTCCTCCTCCTCCGTCGCCATTTTGGCTCAAGCGTTTAAGGCTCTCAACGAACCACGTGGATACCGCTGTTCCGCGGCTTGCTTTCGCATCTTGAGAGGCAGTCCGCCCTGCTCTCTCACCGTGGGCAGTTCGCCCTGCCCACGGACTCTCGGCCTTGGTGGTGTAGCCGCGCGCTGCCACCTCGAGCCATTCATCACGAACAGCTCGTGGTTGCGCTGGGCAGTCCTGCTCCTCACACAGCCATGGATTACAAGCAGGGGCGCGCGAACTCGGAGCCTTGGTGCTGCAAATGGCGCAAGCACAAGCCGTCCGACACGTCATGGGTCAACACGTCTGATCACATGTGGTGTGTACAGTGCGGCTTGCCCAAGAGCTCATCGTTCAAGTGCAGGGCCCCAGACAAGTTGCCAAGCACTCGTGCGCCATCCATGCAGTCTGCTCGCGAGCAGACATTGGTGAGCAGCTCGAGGCCCTCCAGAAAAAGGTACAGCAAGCGACTCACAGGGACTGAGGAGGAACCAGCTGCACCAACCTAGCCTCCCTGGGCACTAAGGCAATGGCTGCGGTGGCGGCAATGATCAGGACAACCATGATCGCATCCAGAACATTGCGAGCATCGTCAACACCATGGGCGTGGCCAGCCAAGAGGAGGAGTCCCGTGCGAAGCTTCTGGATGAGAATCAGAGGCTCAAGGCTGAGTTCAAGGCCGACGCGCCTCTCGAGGCCAGCGTGGCGGTGCTCACCAGACAGCTCCACCAGGCTCGGCGGCGAAACGCAACGGCGACTTCCAAACTGGAGGCAGGCAAACTGTCGGTGGCAGCTGCCGTGCGTGCATTGCAAAAAAGCTGTGGACGAAGCAGATAAGGCAATCGAAGCGTTGGAGGAGAGGATGCGTGATGTGGTGGCGACCACCACGCCAGACCCCAACTTGCAGCCCTCGCTGGACGCCTTCATCCCAAGGCTTGAGACAACCTTGGCACAATTTGAGTCAGTCGTCAGGTCGCTGGGAGGAGGAGGAGATCGGTTTACATCGGATGTGGCGGCCATGGCAACGATATTTCAGAAACTCAACGCCGTCTAAGCTCAGTCGACACCAGTCGGGCCTGCCCCTGCTTCGCCTGATGCTACACCTGCGTTCCAACAACCTGCTCCTGCCCGCCCATCAGCTGCAGCATCGCAGGGTATGGAGGTCGATGAGGAGGCTAAGAAACATGGCAGCCTAGACGCGGCCACGGTGCGAGAGCACTTGCAGGCGTGCGGAGTGCACGTGCCAGTCGGTGATGATGCAGATGATGACTTGGAGAAGCTGCGTGGCAGCTCAAGAGGCAGATCGAGACCGTCGGCCTAGAAGTACGACTGCCTCACACCATGTCTTCGGCTCAGCCTACGTTTTTGTCATGAGGATGCAGAGTTCCATATCGATTTACCCAGCAGGTAGCAGACAAGCACCTTCTTCGATTGATGCGTCAGCTGGTATCAAGTCGTCGAGGGGGCTCAGTTTCAGTCCTAATATTTCCAGCGGTCAGTCCCACAGTGACTTCACTTTTTCTGGTGGCGTTCGTGTTGACAGTGGTGCAGTGGCTTGGGATGGTACTGCAGGTACTTCGAATCTTTCCAGCGGCTAGTCCTCAGGAGACTGCACTTCTCCTGGTGGCGTGCGTGTTGACAGCGGTGTAGTTGAGTGGGATGGGCTTGCAAGCTCCCATCTTTCCAACGGCCAATCCCAAATAGACTGCGCTTCCACTGGTGGCGTTCGTGCTGACCGTGGTGCTGTGGATTGGGATGGGGTTGCAAGTATTTCCAGCAAGGCTGCCAACAATGGGGTGGTGCAATTGGATGGGCGGGTGCCGCGTATTTCCACACGCGCAGGGGAGTGGCCTGCTGCTGCCACTTGCGGCCGAAGTTCTGGAGCAGAGCGTACGCGCCTTCGGGAAACGCTACTGCTCACTCCAAGCTCAACGTCACCACTTGCTGGATCGCCTAACGTTGACGGAAGGTCTGGCACCACAGCCGGAGTTGCTATCTTAGTCAAGTCTCACGTTACCACTTCCTCCCACCCCCCACCCACCCCTGCCGCGATCTTTAAACCCTCGTCCCAAGGAGAGTTGCCGCGGACCACGTCCGATCGTTCAGGGAAGGCGGCATCGTGCTTGTTAGTGCGTACTCTAAGGATGGAAAGGGGCTTGACCCTGCGAACTCAGGAATCCTCTGGCATTTCACCGCATCGAGTTTCTTTGCGCGTTGAATGGCAAGCCGATGCCATGGATTGTGGGAGCTGACTGGAACATGGACTTTCAAACCCTCTGCCAGTCAGAGTGGCTTAACAAGACAGGAGGAGAGGCGTTAGTTTCCCAGGCCACCACATGCAGTCTCGCCTTGAACTCGCATCGACTTTTTCATTGCCAACAACTCACAAGGCCGAGTTTGCACCCTGAGGCTACTGTGGACGAGAACGCCTCCACCTCGCCTCACCACCCCGTTCCGACTCGCCTCTTCGCTCATGGAAGCCCCATGTGGGCCAGAGGGGCCACGTGCCCAAGGAAGCTCCCCACGGTGCCGCCTCCAAGGTGTTCCAGGCCTCCGCTCTTTCCGTGCCGGACAGTTATCGCAACGGGGATGAGGTTTACAATGCAGAGCAACTCGCTAATTTAAAGATCTGGTCGAGAGGGTGGATGGGGAACTTGCCGATGAGGCCAGGTTGGGCGCAAGGCTCCAGGCCTGCATCGGCCGAGAGGGACCCCCTGAGGTCAGGTGTAAAAAGCTCGCCTGGACCCCCCCAGGAGCTTGGGGCTTGGGCCACGGCGTTAGGCTGGCCCAAGCACTTCGCTGAGGATGAAGCAGTTTCTGGCGGCCGAAATCCAGAGGCTTGAAGGATGCAGTGTTCTATGCGAGTTCATGCCAGGACAGTGCGCCAAGCTTTTTCAGCACTTTCAGGCGTTTGCTCATTTTAAGGCCAATGTTAAAATATGCGGTAAGACGCTTCGCAAGCTCGACGAGAGAACGCGACGCATAGTCACCAGCGGCTTCGCCGTGCTCGCACGTTCCGATTTGGTCGATCGTTTACTGCATGCTTGCACCACGGCCAAGAAGGCCAAGTCCGAGGCCCACGGGGCCTAGATTAAGTGTGCTCGAGACGGTTTCACCAGCGGGCCCCCATGGCCCACAAGTTCACCAAAGTGAAAGCCGTCCAAGAGGTGCGCAAGGCACGTGCTCGGACGCAGCCATGCGAGCATGCCAACGACGAGCTCCGCCCAATGGGTCTTGATCTAGGAAGCGCATCAGTGATCCCCTCCTCCTCTGCCCGACGGCTCCAAGTCCTGTGGCCCCCTTGCTCCCATTTCCTCGGATCATGTCAGAGCTGCAGTGTGCACCAGTGGTCGACCTAAACAATGTGTTTGGTTCTCGTTTTGTTTTCGATTTTCCTCGTTCTGTCTTCAATCAGCCTTTGCTGCAAACCGAACTCGAAACGCAAACGGCCCAAGAAATCGCCAAAACACCGTTTAGGTCGACACCTGGTGCACGCCTCTTCGGCGCACACCGCCTCAGGACCCACGGGCATCGCGCCCAGGTGTCTCGCACCTGCCTGATGGGGCGTTCGAGGCCACTGCCCAGCTTTGCATGGCCTGCGAACATCTTAAACATGGAACGAGATGGTCAGATCGCCCTAAGCCTGAGGGAGGGACCGGATTCATTTCGTGGATGTTTTGTTTCAGAACTTGGGGAAACCTGCGCAAAGATATAACTCTGTCTTGGCAGACGGGGGACCATGCGTGTTCCGGGACTTCGGGCACTCCGAGGCGGCACAATTCCTCAGACAATGTTTACTCGCACAACCTTGCTGCAGAACGCGCTGCCCTAATAGGCATGCCAATAACGGTGCTGCTTGACATGCTCACGTGCTTCGAAATGGTTCACCCCACTGAGCTTCTGGCTGAAGCAATTGCACTGGGATGCCCTGCGCATCTCGCCTGGATATGCGAGGAACTGTGCAGGAAGCCGCGACGGCTGCGAGCGTTCGGCAGTCTCAGTGATCAGTTTTAATCGTGCCAGTGTGTTCTCGCAGGCTACAGCCACGCGACGGGTATGCGGTGCATTCTTACATGCAGAGCCTTGCGAAGGCTCTGCAATTTAGCCCCTACAGTCACGCCAAGAGCCCTAGTAGACGACTTGTGTTGTTGCAATTCATTTCGGAATCCAGGGAGGACATCCACACCTTGTGGATCGCGGCCCTCGCACGACGGCAGGGAGCTAGGTCTCTGGACTCAAGCCAATGAGTCAAGTCAGAGCCGGTGGCGGCGAACAGGCATTGCAAGAGGTATCTGCAACATAAGGCTGAACGGCTCGAGGTGTCTTTCGAGTGATGGATGCGTGATATTGTACACGAACTAAGAAGCTGCAAATAGAATGACGAAACACCAGGATAAGAAACGTGTCTCGACATTAGCTCGCAGGCGCAACACAGTGCTGGCGCTCAAGAAGGCCACTGCCAGGCGCGTCGCCCGTCCTTCGCGCACAGGAACGCTCTCGGCAGCGGGACACGGCATCAGTGTCTCAACCATCTCAGACGTTGGCCTTAGATATCTACGACCATTTGAGTTGGTACTCGCAGGTGGAACAGAGCATGGCGGATTCACCGCGTACCTGATAGCTAACAAGGACCCCCCTTCCACGATCCCATCTACGAGGCCATCCTGGGCATATCTATTAAGTATGCTACCTGGATCTTGGATGGGAGATCCAGTCAAGTAAAGCCTCAGAGGGCCTGGAGCGCGCTCAGCAGCACCATAAGCGAGAACCCTACGGGGCAATAGGTTCGAAGGCCCATGTCGGCCTGTTGGGTATCATCATTAAGGGTCGGATGGGACATGTGGAATGCGCATACGTTCACCGTCGATAATGGAGAACACCATTCGCTGCTTACCAACACCACCTTATGAACACAAACAGATACTCATCGAAGGAGTGCAGCGTTGGCAACACCGCAGGCAGCTGAATCACATGAACACCTCGGAGGGACATGACACTGTATGGCATCGCGCGCTGCGGAATGGCACCGCAACCATGAAGGACCACAAGGAGACCCGAACCCTTTCGGCGGTTTGGGGCGATGTTGTCTCTCTACCCGCCCCTCTTACACAAACTATCAGATGCTTCCCGGGTGGCAGGTGTGCAAGGCGCCAAACGGAATTGACGGCCACATCTGGCTCTGCTGTGAAAGGCTAATTGACGGCTTAGGCAACAACCCGAACGGTGAACCGATTCCCGATATTTTTGCGTCTCATAGGGACGTCCTCATCCAGTTTAGCTTAGACATCTGCGGTGCTTCACAGCCTCATTTTGCTTACGGTCTCCATAGCCTCCCTGTACAGGTCACCCCCCATGAGGACCACCTCCTATGCCCTCATGGGACGAGGGCGGCCCGTGGGACGCCGAGAATTTCCTTGATGGTACTTTTCTCTAATCGAATATCCCTGAGGTCTCCCAAGCGGGCTGGGCTGTCGTGCAACTGTTTGAAAATATGCTCCCGTGTAGGGCCCGCTGTGGAGCGCTACATGATAAGAAGCAGATTATAGGGAAGGCGGAGCGTTGGGCCATCAAGCAAGCCCTTCAGGCCTCCCCTCCACCCGAGCTGCTCGACACCGATTTGCAGGCAGTCGCTCAGTAGGGGAACAGTTCAGACCCCGAGCTTGGGCTTGGTGTCTCAAAGCATGCTGCCTTTTGTGCTGCAATAATCAGAACCCCTCTCGAGCGGCCTCCTCTGTCCCATTCGGTCCCTGCCCATGTCTCCCTGGAAGATGTTCTTTCCCAGGTGCGAGACGTCCGGATTGGGCTGGAATTGTTTGGGCGCATTTTCTCGCCAATTTCGGGTCTTTCTCCCACTGCCTGGCTGAGGGGTTTTGCAAGGCGCTGGCTGGCGAATTGAAATACCACAAAATGACCTTGTGTTTTCTTGGATGGTCTGCTCCAACGTTGGACCGGCATGGACCCTCAAGTCCCGCTCTGAGTCGTCACGCCTCCCACCCCTCCTCGGGTCAGCGTGACTGGTCACCAGCTTTGGCACAGCAACGAGCTTGAGGAATGGATATGCAGATGGTGTGGACGGTATGCCCGCACGCAGGCCTGCTACACGTCTTTGTGGCACAATGATGCCGCAATCCCTCAGCGGTCCAGCAGCCTGCGACGTCCCGCTGGGTCAGAGACCATGGTGAGACTCTCGTGCTGGTCTAATCTGAGGCCGTGCGCATCGCCCTTGATGCATCGTACGCGGTCGCAGCCGACGAGATCGGTGATGATGGTCCCCCCACTCCCGGACCTGAACCAGTCCGGTGCAAGACAAAGAGCTCAGGGCTTTCAGCGACCTGGGCCATGGCGTTGTCAGACGTGGCTCAGTTTTTTGTTGCAAGTTCTGTGGCAGCAACGAAAATCTCGGGCGGATGATCAAGCTCTCCGTCCAAGGCCGTGGCCCTTCCCAGGTGCCCTCCGCACGCGCTGACCAGCTTACTTATGCACGTCAGGAAAATCGAGCGCGGCCTCCACCCCAAGACGGGAGAGAAGAACGAATGAACGAACGAACGCCGGAGTCGTGCGCGCTCCGCGAGGGAGCTCGCCCGTGCCCACTAGGGCATGGCGTGGAGGCCGTGGCCGCCTCCCCCCCCCCCAATCGCCGTCGTCGCCCGCCCACCTCCGCCTCACCCCTCACCGCCCGCATACGTCTACTATCTCGACGTGGCGAGCACGGTGGGCAGCGAGGCGGGGCGCGCTCTCGGCCGACGGGAGGGCCAAAGCGAGGGCTCCTGCAGTCGCATGATGTCGCCCCCCCCCCCCCCCCCCACCCTTTGGCCTCTGGGGGGCACGATAGTTTCGACCTTTTCCTGCTCCTCCTCCTGATCCTGCTCCCCCTCCTCCTCCTCCTCCTCCTCTTCCTCTTCCTCTTCCTCTTCCTTCTCCTCCTCCTCCTCCTCCTCCTCCTCCTCCTCCTCCTCCTCCTCCTGGGTGACGCCAGCGCTGGCTGCCGCTGCCAGCCCCTGCGAGTCCAACCCTGCCAACACAAGGACCGCGCCTGCGCGGGCCACCGCCCGGAGGCCTCTGTCAGGCCCTGCCCCGCCCCGCCAGGCACGGCTTGGTGCCACATCCCATGTCGTTGGGCCAGGATCCATGGTGCCTCGAGGCCTCAACGCGAGCGCAATTGAGACGACAGCAGGAGCATGAGGAGAAGGGGGAGAACCTCGGATGCAGACACATCGGGTGTATCTGAGAGCTGGCGGGTCTGGAGGATGTGTTGGGCGCCGCGGCCGCTCCAGAGCGTTCGAGAGCGTTCCAGAACGCTCGGGAGCGATTGACCCTCATCCTAGGCCTGCCTGGCCAGGCCTCAGCGCGAACAAATTGCCAGGGCGCATCCACTGGGAAAGCGCTTACAGCCGAGACAGGGCCACAAGAACGTGGATCAAGAACCCGAGCCCCTTCACCGAAGGCCCCATGGAGATAAAGAAAAACGAAAGACACCCTGAGGTTCGGCGGCGAGCCCAGGGGGCAAGTGAGAAGGGGCGGGCCTTCTCAGAAGGCTCAAGAATCACTCAACCGTCTGAGAAACTTTCGAAGCCTTCCGCGAAGACACAGAAAGGCCGGAGGCCTTCTGAGAAGGCCTTCTCCTTTTCACTTTCCCCCCTCGCTCGCCGCCGAAAGATGGGTGTCCCAACGGCGAAGAACATCTGGGCACCCCTCCGAAACCTAGGTCGCTCTTAGCCCTCGTGCCAGCTGTGCCTTGCTCGTGGCACTGGCCGTGAGCCCTCCGAAGGCCCCAGGCATCCCAGATGACTGCTCTCCGCCGGCGGGCGGGATGCTCTCGGGGCGCCTGCTGGGCCAGCCCTGCCGCAGGGGGAAACCGGCCTCGGCACTCTGCTGGCAGCGCCGCTGCACGCCGCTGCACGACGAGGCTCGACCCCCGTGGCAGAATTGGCGGGCGGAAGAGAGCAGCGTGGCAAAGCGAGGCACCTGGGCGCACCAGACAGCGCCAGACGGAGCAGCAAGGAGGAGGAGGAGGAGCAAGGGCAAGGACGTGGAACAGGAGGGGCCTCTGCCCGGGACGTAGTCCTTGGGGGCGTGCTGGCGGAGGAAGTCCGGGACCTGCTGCGAGTTGAGCACCTCCCTTCCCTTGCATGCCCCCTCGCGAGCCCCCTGGGGCGGTGGCCGTGCGGCAGCAATGGCGGCGCGGGATGGCGGGCAAGGAGGAGGTGGACGGGGACAGGGTGCTGTGGTCGAAGGGAGGCGTGTGCGTGTGCGTGTGGCCCCCTCTGAACCGGCGCGCGTGTGTACCGGCCTAGGTTTCGGCCGCCGTGCTTGACTTGCGTCGCCTCGTCGCCGCGCGCGAGGCCGCGTCTCCCCCCCCGTGCCCTCCTGCCCACAAGACTCTGTTGCTGTCTGCTTCCTCGCCCTCTGGTCACGCCGGCATTGCGGGCCGTTTACTGCGCCTCCACCTTGCCTCTCTCGCACTGCTGCGCTGCTCTCCTGCCGTTTCCCATCTCGCGTCTCCCCCCGTCCCCCCCCGCTGCTCCCCTTGTAACTGCTCCCTCGCGAGTGATGCTGTCGATCCCCTATGGGCGCATCCAATATCTCCACGCCGCGTGATCTGGGCTGGCCCGCGCGCGTCTCGCTCCCTCTCGACCTGCGCCACGCCGCGCCGCTGCGCGCGAGGCCGCGGCGCCACATTGTGTGTGTGTGTGTGTGTGCGTGTGTGCGTGTGTGTGTGGGGAACAGGGACAAGGAGAGGATTGAAAAGGCGAGGGAAGATTCGCGGGAAGCAGCGCGATGCGCTCTGATCGCCTGCTCTCTTCTAGTGCGCTCGATGGAAAGAGTTCGGCGTTTGGGCCGCTGGAGGCCCTACGTGACGACGTGCACTTGACAGAAGGGGCCGTTGGCTAGGGAACTCGGCGACTCGCAGCTGACGGGTTGCGCAGCTAATCAACAACGAAGACACTGCATAATGGCGACAGGGATTGCTCTCGAACGCACCGAGTTAGCATCCTTACTCGTTAAGCCAGTATCAGCCAGTGCCATCTTTGCAACATCAGAACAGCCTGTCAAACGACCTGGTTGAAGGACAGCGTGCTCAGGCACCTGTATGGCGTGGCTTTCGGGCCGAGATCAGTTGTAACGTACAAGCGTTGAGCTCTCGTGCCCAACGTGACAACTTTCCAGCGGGCCAGAAACATATGCAAAGCTTCTGAAATCCACCAATCGGACTATCGGGGGAACGCGCCAAGGCCAATCGGACTATCGGGGGAACGCGCCAAGGACCGGGAGGGTCATAATTGCCAGGGGGCGCGGGATGTGTGCATCATGAAAATTATCAGAAACACCTGGTGCTCACCAGGTTAGCACCATACGAGCTATGCAAACATATTGCTCAACTTGTGTAGCTGTTCGCACAATACTTTTGCGGCGTGGAACTACTTGTTACGCACCATGTAAGTATGCACCCACCTCGCACCCGATACATGCGCATGATCTGCGCACTCTGCCTCCCCATTGCAATTCGATTATCCTTCCTTTCTAACTTATCTACAATCTCCGTGTAGATAACCATCTGTATCCGTTCATGTCTCCTGTAGCAGTCCTTTGGCTGCATTTTGGATGCTTGCGTTGCTTTTCCTTTGCCCATTGCCGTCCAAACTCTTCACGACACTGACTCCACACAACATGAACTATTCATATTGGGTGTCCCTGTAACCAGACTTCCTCCTCCTCTCATCTGCTCTTCCACTTCCTTCTCCTCCTCCTCCTCCACCATTTCCTCCTCCTCGTCGCCTGCTGCTCCTCCTCCTCCTGGTCCTTGTCCTCATCTTCCTGGTTCTCCTCCTCCTTCTCCTCCTCCTCCTCCTCCCAATGCCCGCCCGCCAAAAACTCCACGAGCTTCTGGCCCAAGTGCAGGTCCTGCCCCGGGCGCCCCTACCGCCCCTCGTACCTCCGCCGTCCTGGAGGAGGACGCGCCGCGATCCGCTGCACAGGGGAGTAGGAGCATCGGGGGGAGTTAGGGTGAGGGGAAGGGAGACGGAGGGGTGGGAAGAGGAGAAGGATGAGAAGGAAAAGTAGGAAGAGTAGGAAGAAGAGGAGGAAGATGAGGAAGAGGAGGAGGGGCAGGAGGAGGAGGAGGAAGATGGGATGGGGAGCGCGTGGCCCTCCTGGGCTTCCAGGAAAACGAGCCCCCCATTTCTGAATCTAGAGTGCCACTGTTGTTGCGGCAGACGCACTTCCGATCTGCCGTCGCAACATAACATATCCTCTCCAGAACCCAGGCTACATACTTCACAATTCACGCGTCTCATGATGCTTTCGTGCTTGCCTGTGCTGTACGGACTATCGGGATACACAACTTTTCCGCTCCGAGGGAGCTCTGCAGGCGCCTCGGGCGCCCACTTATTCTCTGGAGATGGGCTCCTCCCCCAACACTCCATTGCTCCTCCTCCTCCTCCTCCTCCTCCTCCTCCTTCTGCTCCTCCCTCCTCCTGCTCCTCCTCGGGTGTCGGGTGTCCCTGTACGCCGAACTCCTCCTCCTTCTCATCCTCCTCCTTACACCTCCTCCTCCTCCTCCTCCCTTGCCTCCTCCTCGTCGTCCTCCTGCTTCTCCTCCTCCCCGTCCTCGTCCTCCTCTTTCCGGCTCTCCGGCTCCTCCTCCTTCTCCTCCTTCTTCTCCTCTTCCTCGTCCTCCTTCTCCTACTCCCTCCTCCTACTCCTCTTCGCTTCTCCTGTTCTTGCTCCTCCTCCTCCTCCTTATCCCTTCATCCTGCTCCTCCTGTTTGTTTCCCTCGTGGAGGAGGGATGGGATGAGGAGGAAGACGCCAGGGATGATGTCAACAGCGGCGTCCGACCAGATCGCGGCGCTTCTTCTGGCGTGATCGTCCGATCGCGTGTGTGTGTGATAATCGAGTTGAGCAGTACGAAACTCATGCAACGTCTCCTGCACCTCAGTCCCCACGCTCACACATTCTGACGTCGCGCCTCTCTCTCTATATGTATCTACAGATTCCATCGAACTTAGTTTTCTGAAGCCATTCGAGGCATCGAGGCACTTGCTGCTGGACAACAATGTTTCCACTCACCTAATCTACTGGATCTAACTTTGTGCTGGTACGCCACGGCCCCCGTGTGCTGTCCTTGCGGCCCACATACGCCAAAGCACACCCTACTTGGCCGACGCGACCTGCGCATGCGAGAGAGTGTCAGTGAAAGACACACGGACCTGGAAATGAGACACAAAGGAACGGGAATAGTAATGCGTATGTAGAGAGAGAGAGAGAGGGCGAGAGAAAGAGAGATACATAGAGAGAGAGAGAGAGAGAGCGCGATCTGTATACATATCTATATATATGTATATACACATACACTCAAACTATGCATCATAAAGAAAGATAGTTCGATAACGCGAGAGATAAAGAGAGAGAGAGAGAGAGAGAGTGACACTAAGCACGCACACATATCTAGACAACATTTGACATGTTATTATGTTTATGTGTGTGTATGCAATTAAATGTATGTATATATATATATAGAGAGAGTGATGCGCAACCATATAGATACGTGTATACACAGACGGAAATGGTACAGAGCAGTACAGGAAGAATCTGCGTACGCATATCACGCATACCATCGCACTTCGAGCCAGGGCTTTGCTGGCTTCGGCGAGTACGCCGAACAACAACATAACAACGACATGACACGGGTCTCCAACGCGTTGTCATAGCGACTTTGCGCGTCGGCTTACGCGGGCCGCCAGCGCGGCACGTCTTATGGGAAACGAGGGCGCTTACGCGCGACCTTACTCGGGCAGCTTACGCGCCAATGTCGGTGAAGACCACCCCACGTTTCTACGTCGCTCCGATGAGGACGGATCCGATACATCGAGAGCCTCTGAGAGCAGGTGGGTCTGGAGGACGTATCGGGCGCCGCGCAGATTCCAGAGCCATCGTGACCGCTCCAAGAGCATTCTGGAGCGCTTTGGAGCAACTTATCCTCATCCTGGGCCTGTTCAAAGGAGGGAGGCGGCCAACCTTGCAGCGCGCACAAAGGGGGTGGCGCGAGAGGGGGGGCGGCATTCTGCCGAAAGACTTTTCTGAATGCAAGGGGGCTCCTGCGAAGCCATCCGGGATTTTTCTTAAATTTCTTAAAACTCTTGAAAAACAACCTGCTCAAGAGCCTTCTTGGAAGGCAGAGGGCTTCTCGGAAACCTTCTCGGAAGCCTCTGAGCCCTTCTAAGAAGCCCCCCCCACCTCCTGAGAAGCTCCTCCGCCCACCGTCCCCTCGCGCTCCCCACTTTCTGCGCGCCGCCCAACACATGGAGCGACAGAGAAGGGTCCTGGCGGAAACGGGTCCCCACCCCGAGGTCTCCCCCGGGTCCGCCTCCTCATCCCGAGGCATGCTTTGACGCTCCGGGGCCTGGGGAGGGGGCCCCGGGAGCCCGACGGCGGCAAATTACATCCAGGGCCCTTTCTCGTCGTGGCGATTGTCTTGAGGAGGGAAGCGGCCGACGCATCTCACCACAACGGGGCTGGAGGCCGCGAAACGGCAGTGCGAAACGGAACACCGCGAGACAGAACAAGATCAGGTGAGCAAAAAAACGGCGAGAGCCAAGACGAATCAGGCGGATACATGCAGCGAGCTGCGGCTTGAAGACGAAAGCCAAGGCTCGCTGTGCAGGGTGCCTGGAGCACTGTCGCGGTGTCCCTGGCCAGAACTGTTCCGTTTTGGATCCCCTGGGGCCCTCGGGGCACCGCGATGGCTGCTCTGGAAGCCGCCTGGGCCTCCCTGGAAAAGCTTGGGCCGCCTTGTTCTGGGGCGACCTCTAGCAGCACCCGGCGGTGGGATCAACGACGGCGAGCCTCCTTCGCCTAGGCGAAGCTCAGCCGAAGTAAGTCTTAGAGATTCTTAGCCTTTCTCCTCCTCCCTCCTCGCCCTCCTTTCTTCCATCCCTCCCTCGCTCACTCCGTTTCCTCCCCTGCTGCCTCCTCCTCCTCCTCGTCCTCCTCCTCGTTCTCCCCCTCCTAGTGCCTCTCGTGCTCCTGCTCTTGCTACTGCCTCTCATACTCCTCGTCCTCTTCATCCTCCTGTTGCTCCTCAGGAGTATACCCGCCTGGTTTCTCTGAGCCCCCCTCACTGCAACGGGAGGGGTGCCAAGGCAACACTGGCGAGACCACTAGCGCGCTGTGACCAGATAGCTGGCTGCACTGAAGCCATGGTGAGTGGAGGAGGAGGAGGAGGAGAATGAGGAGGAGGAGGAAGAGGAGGAGAAGGAGGAGGAGGAGCAAGAGGATTACGAGGACGAGGAGGATGAGGATGAGGACCCGTGTAAACCCAATATGCGTCAACGATGTTGCAACAAACTCTCCCTCCACGTTTCCTTCATAGGTCCCTAAAAAATATAGTAATTGCAGAAAGTGGCCCATTAAAGGCAATCGTCTGAAAGTCGTCAATCGTGCCAAGACACCGTTCCTGCGACTTCAACGCCGCGCATCAACGTGACCGTTGCGTCCTGGCAGTCCTGAACGCCAGTCCTGGGAATTCAGCACCGAGAATCAACGTGACTGTTGCGTCCCGATAATCTCACACCGTGCCAGAACGCTATTCCTGGGACCTCGACAATAGGAGTCCTTGAACCTGTTAGAAGCTTTAAAAACGAATGTGCGCGGCGCTCGGCGAGAACCACATTTTGCGAACCACCCGCCCTCCATCCGTGAAGATGGTATAAGCTTTACAAACGAATGTGCGCGGCGCTACTGCGAGAACCACATGTTGAAAACCACCTGCCGTCCGTGAAACTGTTCCGCATTTTCGCAACGAATGCGCGCGGCGCTGAGGCGAGAACAACACTTTGAAAACCACTCGCCCTCCGTCCCTGAAACTTGTTCAAACTGAAAATTAGATGTGCGCGGCGTTACGGCGAAAACCGCATTTTGGAAACCACCCGCCCTCCATCCGTGAACAGTGGCATATTTCACGCTTCATCATCATACATGGCCCAGAAGTCTCAGGCGAAGCGCCCGGATCCCTACCGGCGAGTCTGGGGCAGGGACGAGTTATTTAGAAGGAGACGGGGTTGAGGCTGAGGATGATAATGGCGACACTAATGATCATGATGAAGATGCTAATGATGATGGTGAAGATGCGGATGCTGATGGCGATGATGACGATGACGCGGATGCTGTTCATAATGATGATGATGATGCGGCTGCTGCTGCTGCTGCTGCTGCTGCTGCTAATGATGATGGCGATGATGACGATGGCGTTTGCGATGGCAACGGCGACGACGATGATGATTCTGATGAAGCGGGGGAGGAGAAGGAGGAATCACGTGCCCTAAAAGCGGGCTCCTGGTGACCACGCTAGGCACAGAGCGCCAGACGCGCAACGCCAGTAGCTCGTGCAGCTTCTTCGAATGAGAAATGCGCCGAAATCGGTGCATCATCTTGGACTTTGTGGTAAGTCTGGAAGGTTAGCACCGTGGCTTTGACAGCCAGTGCCCGAGAAGTTGCGCAGCCTTCCTGAGAGTACTTGTGAGCCCGACCAAGACCGATCCAGAGGATGTGGTCCGACGGGCAATCGAGGCGCATCCAGCCGAGGGCGACGTGGTGACGGAGATTGGGGCATCTGGAGTGATGCTGGGCCGCGTCAGAAGCCACGCGTCCAAAAACATATTCGCTGGAATGAGTGGACGCAAACGTCCTAACACTCGTAACCCACCTCCCCGCCAACGAGATGAAATCAGCCTAACGCAAGGACGGGCGAGTCTCGGTCAGCTCAGCCTTGAGGAGGGCCCATCGCTGTGAAAGGTCGGGGGGAATTGCCAGGCAGTGAGGCGGCGGCGTATTCTGAGATCGAATCTTTCTGGGTAGAGCGAACGAATGAACTCTGAAGCAACGGTCCTCTGGCGCTTGGCCTCGACCGCCGCTCTCACTTCGGCTCGACCAGTCGTCTTGGTTTTCTCCCAATTGCGCGTGGAGAGAGAGGTGGGACGAGGACGGAACGAGGAGCCACGACGCCTAACAACGGCGGGCGGAGTGGAAGAACGGAGGGGAAATAATAACTGAACAACGGCTTGGGGCCTGCGCCAACGCGGGACACGCCATCCCAAGGCAGCCCATAAAGGGCGCGGAGAGAGTCTGGGCGCCGCAGGCAGCGTCGGCGGCCTGCTCCAGGAAGCAAGAGGCCACGTCCCAGTCGGGAATCGCGTGGGTGGCGGTGCGCCACGCCGATGCTATGCCGATATATATATATATATATACACACATATAGATATATAAACAATAAAGAGAGAGGGAGAGAGCGAGAGAGAGAGAGAGAAACACAACACAAAGGAGAGAGAGAGAGAGAGAAAGAGAGAGAGACGAGCGATCGAGGGGAACGGCACCTCCAGTCCAAAGGGTCGAGAAAAGGTCGGCGAGAGAGGGCGAGTTATGGGTTAGCCTCAGGAGCTTGTGGAGGCCGAAAGTCTCACGCGAGATGGCTAGAGGAGGTATGTGAACACTTGGGACAGGTAGATGAGGGTGTTGACGGCGTGCATGTACTACTGAAATGCCAAGAGGGCGGAGGTATCACGATATGGTGGGAGCTCGATCGTGCCACCACTTATGAAATGCCGCGTGCCGCTGGGGCGCAGGATCACCGTCGGGCCCAAAAGGGGCCCCCATATGCACCGGGCAACCTGGGGCCTCGACCGCGAGCCATTCGCGGATGCGGGAGGTGAACTCAGGCGTGCGTTCAGTCCACAAGGGCACGATGAAGCACTTAAACCTCTGGAGGCGTTACAGGAGATCGTTCTGAGAGTGCGAAGCCGTGGGGGGGGGGGTGCGCCTTTGCTATCGGCGCAACCTCCAACCTCGTTAGGTGCATCATCTAGGCTGGGGGCTGGGCTGCTCAACTACGCCGGAGAATCGACGAATCGCTGGGTCGAGGCGGAGAGCCCAAACGGACCCAGAAAGCGGGCATCCCTGGAGGGCGCCACTGGAAATCGGGAACAGATCATGCAGCTCGCCTCCAAATCCACCGAAAAGGGTAGGAGAGAAGAAAGGGAGTTGACGAGATTGAAGTAATTAGCCACTGAGGGACTCCGAGCCTCTTGCAGACCTCGAAGAGCCGTTGGTGCCCGACTGAAGGAAACGCTGCAGCGATATCATA